CTATGGAAGAAAAACAATGAAAAATATGGCTAGAAGCCATGAGATGGCAGCCTAAAGATATCTCATTACAAAGTCATGTTTACCTATGTGAAGACCATTTTGATGTAAGTACATATTGAGATTTGTAAAGTTGTGTTGGATTAAAAATTTAATTTAAATATACTCCTGGACAAAATTATCGCACCACCACTGCACATAAGCACCATAAGCAGTGGTGCGATAATTTTGTCCAGGAGTATATATAATATAATAATAAAACGTATGGCGGCTAAGGCCAGCCGTCTCGGTTCATACCTCGTGACGTCACAATTAATGGCGTAGCTTTTTCCTATGACGTCAAATTAGAAAAGTGCGGCCGAAGTTTGTTAACTAATAAATTGGGTAATTAGAAGTTTTTTTTGGAAAAAAATATTATGGAGGGTTATTTATTGTGTTTAAGAAGGTATTTAAGAAGTTTTCAGATAAAAATTAAAATACGTGCAAGAGGCCTATTATAAATAGGGAGGAGGTATAGTCCAACAAATACCTTTTTAAAGTCACGTGATTTTTCTCTATCCTTGTTGAATACATCTCAAACAGCGGTGATAGTAAAATTGACAAAAAAATTGCTGTCTAATTATTGTTCATAATATTCTTACCTGAAATAGAATCCGTCACTGCCATCAATTAGTTTGTCAAAGTTATTTTCGAAAGTAATACAACGAACAAACACAGCTAATAATTTTGACTATATTAACCTTTTTCCAACTCGAAAAGAAGCAAATAGAAAACGGGTACTCAGTTTAAGTTCAGAATGTATTACAACAGACAGCAGATGCAACAAAAGTGAGTCTCGCAACAATTGCAAGTATTAAAATTGCCCTCTGATTGGTCAATACTACTTCAGAAACGCGTTTGTAAAATGCTAGTGGGAACATATATTAAAATTCAATAGTAATTAACCACCAGTAGCTTTTTGTAGGTGATATCAACGACATAATCAATGGACATACGTTTTTTGCCCCCAGTATCTCGTGACTTTAAAATTGTATTTGTCGGACTATACCCCCTGTAAAGCTGGATGGAGATAATTTAAATTATTTAATAGAAATGCAAAGGATACCCAATCCGGCCAATCCACCAAACATGGGTAGGAGCAAGAGATGAAATGGTACAAAATTTTCAAAATTTAAATTAGGATCCCTAATTACTTATACTTATGTATTTTTAAAACTTGTTTAAATTAGGTATTGTGCTTTATATAAAATAAAGGCAGTTTGTATTAAATTATTATTTTATTACCAAAAAATACAAATAAAAAAAAAATTAAGTTTGCCTGGGCATTATACCACAGATCACCTACATACAAATGCGAAAGAGCGAGGAATTCGTGGTTCAAGGTTAATTTGGGTGGACAAAGCTTGGTTATGTTTGTAGTTTGTACTTGTGGATTCGTTGTTGATTCGTATTGTCTGGTTTCTTTGGTTTCTCTCAAGAAATCATAAACATTTTTCATCTTTATCTCTCACACGAATAACAACTATGACGTATATTCTGTATTTAAATCGAAATGCATTCATCCTACGCTGTTGCCAGCTAGTTCGGAATTCAAACTAACCTTAGCTAAGTTTCCTTTACGTAAAGTTGGTGCAAGTCAAAGCGATCAATGCAAACTTAAATTTTAAGATCATGCTTAGCCAAGTACGTGCTAAGAATGAGGAGTATTTTTTTTTGTGCAATCCACCATTATTGCCAGTAATAAACCACATAATAACTCTTTTCCGTTCTTCTAGATGTCGCTGACAACAACAGAATTGTAAAATACCAGCACATCAAGAACACGTCCGATGTCGATAACATTGACATGTCAACATATGACAATATGCCAAAATATTCATTTGATCCATGGTACGCGAACTTGTATTGAACGATCCTGGCCACTTTTAATGTGCCCCAAGCCGCTTAGAGGGCGCGCATGTTCATCGCTGGTAATCGATTTTAGTGAACGCCTTTGGATGTTGACGCTATCAGCTGTCATACTGGTCAGTCGGTTGTCAAACAATTTTTAGTTTGTCAAACTTTTTAGGAATCATTTTCATTAGTTGTAGTGTTTTTAATTCTACCCAGTTTTAGTTCAGGTAAGTTTTATCTCTATCATGGCGTCAATCCCATTGGTAATGAAATTGATGTGAAGACAAACAGAAAAAGTTCAATTATCATTTATATAAGTACCTGAATAAAAATATTATAAGTCCAACGTTTGACAGACACCAGTTTTATTTTTCTATCTTATCCAAAAAACGTTTTTGACGTTGACTGGATCAGTCTTGGTTATTACCATGTTATTAAATATTATATTTATTTCTAATAATGAGGGATAAATATAATAACTAATCTTAAATCTGATCATGGCCTAAAAAGGTCATCCATAAAGATAGTTTCAAATTCAAATATCCCGCCAAAATAATTTTACTTTGACCCAAGCCTATAGAGGCACCACACATATAAACTTTTTTTTTAACATGGGAGTTACCATTCTATATCCCAACTTAAACCTTATTCTATGATTTGATCATAACTAATAATTGATAATGTTTTTCATTCGCCGGTCTTGCATTTCGTCTTTCTTTGTGTTGTCAAGTGTTTCTAAGTGATTTCAAAGTGGTTTTGTGTGTTTCACGAAGACCTTCAAATTTCATAGATTGGAAGATCTATTTTTATCTTTGTTGATTAGATAATTAGATAAATGACAGATTCAATTAAACATCAATCAGAACTTTGAATAAATATGTTAAGGATATCCTTAACCATCGATAAAGGAACTGTCTTTTGATCTAATTAAAAAAACATCAATTAATTTAAGCAAACATTAATGTCCCAAAGTCTAGAATAAGCAAATTTGAACAGACCTACTGTAATGCGAACAGGGCGCCATCTATCATAAAAATGCCTTGAAGCAGGTGTCTGTAGCATCGATGCAAAACCAGTAAATAATGAGTTTCCAGTATGGTAGATGGCGCTAGCTTGGCTCAATTTTGTTGACAACAAAATTTACACTGAGATTCCATTCTCGACAGTTTATATAGTATTTATCTCTGATGCGCATATTCCAAACTAAAAATTTCCTCCCGGTCGGCGAATTATTCTGATCGTTGGCAACCGATCCGAAACTGCAAATTCACTTCTACAAACAAATAATTTTTAATCACCAATTGCCAAATGGTTTCTACGAACGATTTTTTTTTCGATGCGCATGCCTCTGATCGTTGCTGATAGTTTCTGACTGGTCTACGAACGAATCTATTGTTTAAGAAGGAGTAAAAGTGATACCTTCCCTAATAAAAATACTTACAATTAAAGTTGTTTTATAATGTCGAAAATGTCCGTCATCAACATCCATGCAATAATAAATTCGATTCTCTATCACTTCTTCAACAATTTGCAACATATCGGCAGTTATTCCTCGACACTCTACAGTTACGCGTTCTTGCAGATCTTGAAGAAAAGCTGGCTGTGTTCTGTAAACTGTAGACTTCAAATGGCCCTAGAGAAGGAAGTCCAGAGAGGAAAAATCACGAAACCTTGCAGGCCACTCAATTGATCTCCTGCGGCCCATTCAATGACCTCTAAAATTTTCATTTAGAAATTGCGAAAAAGATGCTGTATAATGTGTTGCAGCCCCATCTTGTTGAAAAAACACTTCATGTTGTGGCAAGTTATAATCTTCAGCAATGACCTCCCTTATTCTAGAAAAAATATTGTATTGAAGTAAAGTAAGATACAACTCTCCAGTCAAATAGCCTTGTTAAAAAATATTCACCGCGGTTTGTTTAGGAAATACATTAGAAAACACACAAGAAATAAAAATAAAATAATCCGAGCGCCAGAAATTTTCGTTGCCATAGTATCCGCCTATTGTCAATAGTAATATAACTAGTGCAATGGAAATTATTGACAATTTTTGGGAAATTTGCCCGAATGCATTTTTAAAAACGCATGAGTGCAAATTTGTCGAAAATTATAAATATATTTCCATTGCACGAGTTGTATTTAATGAGAGAATTTCATAAATCAAAAATTTAAATTTTTTGTCAAAAAATGTCAAAACACCAGTTTTCGCACCAGTTAGTATGCAATTATCTGATAATTTGCACTAGTGCAAATTATCGCGTAATTACAATCTGATTGGTTCAAATCAACAATCAAAACATGTCAATTTATTGTTGGAATACCAGTTTTGACAGATGTATGAAATTCTCATAAAAATATCCGTTTTTTGACGGTTAAAGAAAAAACTATTTGTAAACTTTGTTTACTAAACATTGTCTACTATCATTTCAAGTTTCAAGATTATTATAGTTAGTTCGAGAGATTTTAACAAGTTTCAATTATGGCTTACACTATAACCGAGCGGGTTGAATTGGTTTGTATTTACTTCAGAAACAATAACTGTGCAAGACAAACGACACGACAATTCAATGAAACTCATCAGCATCAGGATAAAAATGTCTCGCATACTTACGTTAGACAACTGATGGAAAAGTTTATGGAAACTGGAACTGGGCAGAATCATAAAGATTTTAAGGCTTGCAAATTTTACCTCTATAAGATACAATTGCTTCACGAACCTTATGAGGATGATTAGGACCGACGATTAGAATTTGCAGGAGAAATGAGCGAACGGTATACATATTGGCAATCCGAAATTCCTGTTTAATATCTGCTTTTTAGACGAATACTCCTTTTTTCTACATGGGTTGATCAATCGACATAATTGTCGATACTGGAGCGATTCAAACCCATATTTTATTTATGCCCGGTTTTATAAAGTAGAGTTAAATATCTTGAGTTACCCTAAGGGTTAAGACTCGGGTTAAAATGCAAAGATCTCTGTAAAAATTTATGAAGTAGAAGAACTCAGACACAACATAACCATACATTCTTTAAAAGAAGAAATTAAAACTATTTCAAGTATTGTAAATATAATTTAAGAGATTCGAGACGAGCTTCTATATGTAAAAATGGATATGACAAGCAGTAGAAGAAGTGTGAACTTCTCGGAAAAAGAAATTGCTGCACTGACTGCATTTGTAGAAATTTACACGCCTATTTTAGAAAATAAGAAAACCGATGCAGTTACAACGAAAGAAAATGATGCTATGTGGGAAATAGTGGCATCTGAATGGGCAGAGTCTAGATACACTCCACGAACAGGAAAGCAGTTGAGGGAAAAATGGAAGAACATCAGAAAAGATGTGAAAAAAATATATTCCGATGAGAAACAGGAGTTGTTCAAAACCGGTTGCGAAGAAAGTAAAGTTATAAATATAACTCCACTAGATACTCAAGTAAAATCAATAATTGGGGATGTTAATGTGATCGGCTTAAATAATGTATTTGATTCGGATCAAATCATAGACAAAAATATACCGAACAAGAACCTACAGCTAAAGAAAGCACTAACGATGTGGCATGAAACAAGGTTTGTTATGACTAGTGTATGGTTATTACTGATAAATAAGCCCAAAGTTTCGAGAATTCTCCTAAATCTCAGATTTAATCGATTCAATTTCGTTGTTGGTTGAAATTACCAGTGATAGCGATGAAGACATCAGTTGCACTCCACCAGAGTTGAGGCAAATAGCTGGGAAAGCAGAGGAGAGTCTGCTTCCTGAAAAGAGTAGAAAACCATACGCAGAAATATTCAAAGAGTTTAAAAACTGGTGTACGGAGAAAAAGGTATCACTTCAGAGACCGTCTTGCTGGCATACTTCAGCGATATGAGCAAAGAAAAGTAGCCATCAACACTCTGGTCTATGTATAGCATGATCAAAACCATGTTAAGTTTAAGGGAGTAACGGCCAATTTCATAATAGAGAATTAAAAGTTACTTTAGCTAAATAGACTTTTAGGATAAGATTTTTCAACTTCAAATGGAGCTTTAAATTAGAAGTTAACTTTAAGTTGATTATGAAATTGTCCGTGAGTAGACAATTCAAAATATGGAAAGCTCGTCGTGTTCCTGAAGAGGCAGAACGTTGAATATAAGCCAACGAAACCCAACACATTTTCAGGAAAAAATCATTGAGGACTTTCTGCAAAATGCATCACGGGATTTTCTTTCCATAAAGGTAAGAAGTTCTAATTTCACTTACTCAAATTGTTTCCTAATTTTGGAATTTGAAGTTTTTAAAAATAGACATCAACAATGTAGGCATGTAGAAATTTATGCCAATGAGCAATTTTCTTTTCGTTTATCCCAAATAAAATTATCAAAACCCATTCTGTGTATTTATTATCCCAGGTGGCGCTTGTTGTCGGTGTTTCTGGTGCATGCAGAAGCGACGAACTCCTAAAAATAAAAATTATACACGTTATCCTTTTTGAAGGTAACAGAGACACAAACGTATACTAGCAGAGCCTTCCTTTTCACTGATAAAGGTTGAGTTGAGTAGATTTCCTGAGGCTTCGAGAAAATATTGAAAACGAGAGATTTTTTGTCCAATGTCGCTTCGGAAATGCAACCAACCAGCCTTTCGGACACAACTCAATTTCCCAGTCCTCAAAGAAAATAGCGATATTCTTGAAACTTCCCTATCCGGAGAGGTTTACAGGTTATTCATTTAGAAGAACAGCAGCAACTTTACTTGCAAATAATGGAGCAGATGTTGTGTAACTTAGACGCTTGGGAGGGTGGAAATCAAGCACTGTCGCATAAGGATATGTAGTCAGTCGTCTTTGGAGAACCAAGCTAAAACAGCAAAAATGCTGTCTACGCCTTTGATGTCGAGGTCTTGTACCAGCCCCAACATCCTGTATTCAGTATGTGATAACAGTTGAAACAACCTCTTGGTCAATATTCATTATTGCCTGCAATGAATCCAATCTAACTATGAATTTTATTAGGAAAACTTAACGGTTTCCGGCTATTATTATTATTATGTTATTTTGAAGGTTATTATTGGAAAAAAAATATATATTGATTTTTCTATTAAAAGTCATTGTATTCGTAGATATAATAAGTAGAATTGTGCTTTATTTGAATGAGAACTAAAAAATACAATAAGGGAAGGAAAGTGAGCTCTCGACCCGTGGGTGGAAAGTCAAAAAAGTGACATTTTGAAACTTTTTAAAAGTCAGTAAAGTCAACATACACGTATGATTGTAAATAATAGTATATTATTCAACGAGCGGGTAATGATGGTGAGTGAGTAATAGCCATTACCCACGAGTAGAATACTATACTTTTTCTATGATTAATAGATAGATAATAGGCACGAGTCATGCGGTTTTTGATTTAATTTTCGTAACAAAATTAATTGACAATGCTGACTGACAGCTGGAGGACAGAGTGAGGTTAAGTTAGCACAAGTCTTGTCCAAATTAGCTATCAAAATGGCCGATTGGCAGGTTGAAGTACGTTGTCAACTTGTCGAATTTTCTGAGACCAGGATATTATCATTGGTTGAAAACAATTAAGTAATGAAAAAAAACTCACTGTATGCGTAATCATTCACATTGATCAATGGAAAATGGATGTATATTACGCATATTATTCAATACTCATAGAAAATGGTTTTATAATAGAGACTGGTTTAGGTTGCATCTTAGTACCACACCCTTGTGTAGGGCTTGTAATCAAGAAGACGAGACGATAGAGCACATTCTATGTGACTGCACTGCTTTTTCGCCAATATGCAGAGCCAGATTAGGCCAATCGTACTCATCACTAGAAGAGATCAGAGGCACCGCTTGCGGCGACGTCATCGCCTACATTGAATCGCTAGGCTGGATGACGAGCTAAGGATGACCTCTCCTCTTGTGGAGGCCCACAATGGGCATTATGTGGCCTAAGTGCTGTGGCACACCACCCTCCCAAACTTACAGATAAAGATACAGATAATAGAGACTGGATGCTCGTCCGATAATGGGAATGATTGTGCCGCAAAATTTTCGCCTATTATTTTCGGACTAATAGCATTTACTCATATTATTCTGAATTATTTTATATCCTTAGAAAAAAGTAGTTGTCTCAGTAGTTGGATACGTATCATATGAAAATAAGAATATGGAAGCCTCAGAAAATCCTCCGCATTATTATATTGGTGGTTTTGTGTTTGAGACATAAGTTAAGTAGATTATTTAATTGAGCAAAAGCCTTTGATGCATTAAAATTTTTAAATTTTCATATTGTTTCAAATGTTCTTATTTTTTGGAAAGTAATCCCATCAATTTCTATTATTTTGCTGGAAGGTGTTAATAATATACCAATGTTAGCTACCAAGCGCAGCGCCGAATGATATAATAATGCGCGAGGTATATGGCCTTCTCAACGGAGAAATATATGGGATTATATCTAACACTAACAGTGAAAACTAGCAGTGTTTTTGCAAATAAAAATGATATTTCACTAGATGCATCTACTTTTATCATTGTTGACCCAGGTTAAAAATACATTTTTATTAACCGATATTTATATATCCAATTTTATCTGAAATTGCATTATTATTGACCTGTGTCAATAATAATTTTTTATTGACCGCAGGTAGAGAAGATCTTGTTCTCATGACAATGATCGGTCAATAAAGGCTATTTCTATTATAAGTATTAGAAAATAGTATAATATACATCAGAGACTGAAGCGGCACTATTTATGCCGAGGCGAAAAGTTTTTCGTCGAGGGATAAAGGACACTTCAGTCCCGTGGTTTATTTATACGCTATTTTATAAACTTTGGGAAAAGGAAAACTAAATAATAGAAAAATAATGAACATTTTGATAAACCACTAACGATGCTGTAGTGACAAATGGGTAATACTTTTAGCTGCTAAGGATTCAATAAGTTTTAAAGCCTAGCTACTCAACAATAAGTTCGTTCCAAGCATAAATTTCACCAATTTTTGAGAAGCGACAACTTTTTAATAAATTAACGGAAAAATATGCCGTTTCCACCATTTTTGAAAGCGATTCCTTGTTAATCATGTGCTTTACAAAAAAAAAAAGAATTTGAGTGTTTTTTTTTATACAGGGTGATATAGGAAGTGCGGTAAAAATACAAAATGTTTGCAAATTTGGTGTTATAATGACACCCAGAGCTCCAAACCCATCGTGAACAAGTTCAAACTAGTGGATCTTTAAAGTTACTGCTTAAATTTACTTGCTATGATCGCAATTAAAACTAACTGAATTGAAAAAGCTTTACACAAAACACACAGGGTGTGCGAGGATACTTCAAACTTGAAATTTCAAGTTTTGCATAATTTTGCCAATTACCACAGAAAAGGAAGTGTCAGAGGACGGAAAATAAATTGTGACCTACTTTGAAGGCTTTATATCTCTTATGCAATGTAATTCCAAAAAATAATTTCGAGTTTTTTTTTGTCATCCATTTTTTCAGGAAGTTACGTCGTAATTTGTAAACCTATAAAACAATTGTTTTCTCAATTTTTTGATATTTGCTGCCATCAACAGGTCCTAAAAGAATAATTATTTTTACTTGCTAACATTTTGTATGAATTTTAACTTGTGTACAGGGTACAGGGTGTCCCCAAATCATATACTTTTTGGATAATGCCATCTACTATATGATCAGTTTTACAAAATGATAGTATATTGTTGTACTAGGAGTAGAAGCTTTACTTTTTGTGCTGAAGCAGAAGGTTTGAGAGCCGAATGTAGTAGTACGGGATACGAGGCCTATTTCATCAAATCATTTTACACCGTCTTGCATTGTTATCATCAGTTAGATAAAATGGTACTGAAACGCACTTGTGCAGGGAAATAGATGGGAGTGGGGGATTTAGCTGAAAAAAATGTTTCAGAAAATGTCGTCATAAATTAGGAAAATATATAATTATACACCGTCTTGCATTTATTTATTGAGTCAGTTTGTACACAAACAAAATTGAATTACCACATGCAAGACGTTTTTATGGGGGTTTTAGGGTTGCAATAGAAGATGGAAATTGTCAATTTGTGAGAGGGGTGGAAAATCATTTTACACCACTCCATTGTTGATTTAGATTAAAGCTTGAATGTAGAATAGCTACTGGATACTGATATAAGACGTCCTGTGGAGGGATAACGGGCTGCAAGACGGATGTCAATGCGTTGTCTCATGAGGGAGTGAAAATTTATTTTACACCACTTCATGCTTATGTCCGCCGGAAGAATATATGTTAAAAAATGGTAATACATCAGTCCAAGACGTTTTTTCGGGGAAAAAAGTTAATAAATCCGTTTTCTTTTTTTACTGAACTTTTGAGTTATTTACTGAACCGTTCACTGTTCATTCTTTTCTAAATCATACAGATGGAAAAGGACAGTTGACATAGCGGCTCAACAGGGGAGTCTGCTGAATACAGGAATTATAATTTCTGTTTACAATTCCAGGCAGATCATTTTTTTGCTGCTTTAAAATCAAATTTCTCAAATTTACCTAATACCTACTTACAATCCGTTAGGTGTTATGACATATCCACCTCAAAAAATAAAATAAAATGATTATAAGCTGTCAGAAAAAGAACAATTTTCAACCTTTTTTTTTTGATGTCCGTAGAGTCATTCAAATATACATATTAAGAGAATTTTGCAAAATAGAATTATTCTACGTGGTAAAAGCAAAAATATCTAAAATTATTGTGCGTAATTTGTAATTTGGAGTAGTATTCACATTTGTACCTGATGGATTTACCCCCGTCAAAATTAGTCAACTTCATCACCGTCTTGCAGTCCTTTCTTTCCATTTAGAATGTCTTGTATTTTTTAAAATGTTATCAATGTGTTCTGTTTTTCCCATTAGTATCAGTGCAAGACGTTGTAAAATGATTTCTCACTCCTTCATAAGACAACACATTGACCTCCGTCTTGCAGTCCGTTATCCCTCCACAGGACGTCTTGCATCAGTATCCAATGGCTATTCTACATTCAAGCTTTAATCTAAATCAATAATGAAGTGGTGTGAAATGATATTTCACCCCTCTGAAAAATTGACAATTTCTATCCAATATAACAACCCCAAAACCTCCATGAAAACGTCTTGCATGTGTTGATCCAATTTTGTTTGTGTACAAATTAACTCAATAAATAAATGCAAGACGGTGTAAAATTATATATTTTCCCTGTTTATGACGACATTTTCTGGAAATTTTTTTTCAGCGAAATCCCCCACTCCCATCTATTTCCCCGTACAGGTGCGTTTCAGCATCATGTTATCTAACTGATGATAACAATGCAAGACGGTGTAAAATGATTTGATGAAATAGGCCTCGTATCCCGTACTATAGTGAGGCTTGCTTGACTACATTTATTTCATGCGTTGTATCCGGATACTGAGTGGATTGGATTAATAATGGGGATAATAATCCTGAAATAAACACCCAGGGCTAAATAGTTTATCCGGATCGGAGTACTTAATCCTACTTCCAAATTTGTAGGATTGGATTTAAAATGGATTGATGTTATTTGGTCTTTGATGCGAAGTTAGACACAAACGAAAAGGCTTAAGAAAGAAGTATCAATAATCTTAATTCATTCAATAGTTGTGAAATAAACGAATATAGATTATTAATCCCTAATCCACTTAGTATCTGGATACAACGCGTGAAATAAACGTGGTCACTGTTGAACTACAAAAAGTGTTTCTACACCAAACCAGCTCAAACGTGAAAGAAAAACAATATTTGCATAATTGAATTAATCAAATATATTACTGCTGCCAACAAATGTGACAGCTATCAATCATACAAAGTGATACGGTTTCATTCCATTTTCTAGTTTAGGCTTAGACAAAGAAAAAAGAGGGGACGGGTAACAAATGAAACTAAACTGTGATCAGCTGGAACCAAGGCATGCATGCCAGTGGCGGGTCCTGGCCGGGAGTGATAGGCAGTTATAAAAATAGTTTGGTATATATTT